TGACATTCCTCCCGAATATGCAGACCTCAAGGATGTGTTCAGTAAAAATAGTGCCACTCAATTGCCACCTCATCGCCCCTATGATTGTGCCATAGACTTGATAGATAATCCTGTCCTTCCCAAATCTAGAATCTATCCCCTTACTCAAGAGGAAGAACGAGCTATGGACACCTACATTCAAGAGGCCCTAGATCAGGGTTTCATTCGACCTTCTACCTCTCCCGCAGCTTTTTGTAAAGAAAAAAGATGGGGGCCTTCGTCCATGTATAGATTACAGAGGACTTAACCAGATCACTAAAGCTTATCCTTATCCACTTCCTCTTATCCCTGTAGCTTTGGAACAACTGAAGGGAGCGAAGTATTTCATTAAACTCGACTTAAGAAGCGTGTACAATCTTATTAGAATTAGAGCAGGGGATGAGTGGAAGACTGCGACCAGCAGGGGGCACTATGAGTACTCTGTAATGCCTTTTGGGCTCTCTAACGCCCCCTCGGTCTTCCAAGCATTCATTAATGATGTTCTGAGGGACATGATTGGCAAGTTTGTTGTTGCATACATTGACAATATACTTGTGTACTCTCCTGATCTTGATACACACATCAAACAAGTACGATTGGTCCTCCAGCGATTACTTGAAAATAGACTTGAATAGATTTGTGAAAGGTGAAAAGTGTGAATTCCACTTGCAAACAGTATCATTCCTTGGCTATATTATTAGTTCTAATGGAGTAGTAATGGATGACACCAAAGTAAGTGCTGTAGTCAACTGGCCCACTCCTTCCTCTGTCAAAGAGCTCCAGCGATTCTTAGGTTTGCCAACTTCTATGGACATTTTATTAGAGGCTTTAGCAGTATCGCTGCCCCTTTAACTGTCTTATTGAAAGGGAACCCCAAAAGAATTCACTGGACAGAGCAAACTGAACACGCCTTCCAAACCCTCAAAAAAGCATTTACCAGCGCTCCCATTTTAAAACATCCAGATCCCACTGAACCTTTTGTGGTTGAGGTAGACGCATCAGAAACTGGGGTGGGGGCTGTCCTCTCTCAACGCTCTGGTAACCCCCCTAAACTTTATCCTGTAGCATTCTATTCTCACAAACTCACACCAGCGGAGAGAAACTATGGTATAGGGGATAGAGAATTGCTAGCCATCAAACTTGCACTGGAGGAATGGAGACACTGGTTAGAGGGAGTTAATCATCCTTTTGTCATTCTAACCGATCATAGAAACCTAGAGTATCTTCATAACGCTAAAAGGCTGAATGCTCGACAAGCTCGCTGGTCTCTCTTCTTTTCCAGGTTCCAATTTAGCATAACTTACCATCCTGGGTCCCGTAATACTAAGGCTGATGCTTTGTCACGTATGTATCAGGAGACAGTATCTGAAACCAACCAGTCCGAGCCTGACCTTATTCTTCCCCCCAACGTCACTGTAGCATCCATTCGCTGGGAGATAGATGAGGAGATTTCCAAGGCCTTAGAAAATACCCAAGTACCCAGTCAGTGCCCTCCAGAGAAAATTTATGTCCCCAATCAGTTCCGCGATCGTCTCATAACCTGGGCCCATTCTTCCCTCATTTCAGGTCACCCAGGTGAGACGCGCACCCAGCAGTTGGTGTCAAATCGTTACTGGTGGGAGACTATGAATAAAGACATTCATGCATTTGTAGCATCCTGTTCCACCTGCTCCCAGTGTAAAACTCCTAAAACACTGCCTGCTGGAAAACTTGTACCCCTACTTGTACCTACTCGACCATGGTCACATGTAGACCTAGATTTTGTTACGGACCTTCCTGAATCCCAAGGGTTTACCACCATCCTTACCGTGGTGGATCGTTTTTCACGCGGGGTCCGATTTATACCTTTTGCTTCACCTCCCACTGCCTTTCAAACTGCTGAGGTTTTATTCAACCAAGTGTTTCGATTGTTTGGCATTCCCGAAGATATCCTATCCGATCGAGGCCCTCAATTTACTTCACAAGTCTGGACTGCATTTTTTGAACATATAGGCACTTCCATTAGTTTAACATCCGGCTATCACCCACAATCTAATGGGCAATGTGAGCGCGTCAATCAAGAATTGGGTAAATTCTTACGATTGTTTTGTTATAACAATCCTGCTGACTGGTCACGTTATCTCGTATGGGCCGAAATAGCTCAAAATTCTTTGATCTGTTCAAGCACTGGTTTGACCCCTTTCCAATGCGTCTTAGGCTGTCAGCCCGCTCTTGCGCCATGGACTGGTACAACATCAGAGGTCCCAGCAGTTGATGCATGGATGCAGCGAAGTGAGAGGGTCTGGGAGGAGACACACCAAAGAATTGAGGTCGCCCTCCAGCGTCACAAGAAACAAGCCGATCTTCATCGAGGCGAATCACCTGTCTATCAGCCAGGAGATCGTGTATGGTTATCCACGAGGGATTTCAGAGGCTTGGAGGGAAGTAGAAAACTCCAACCAAAGTATATTGGTCCCTTTAAAATACTAAAGAGGGTAAATGAGGTAACCTATAAATTGGACTCACCTCCCCGTTTTAGAGTCTCACGCTCATTTCATGTATCTCTTTTGAAACCTGTTGTTTCAGGGCCTTTGGATGAGGCTACACCAGACATCGTACCACCCCCTCTGGAGGAGATAGATGGAGCTCCTGTGTATGCTGTCCGTCGGCTGCTGGACTCCCGGAGGCAGGGAGGAGAGCTCCAGTACCTAGTAGACTGGGAGGGGTACGGCCCAGAGGAGCAGTGTTGGGTCTCTGCATGAGACATCCTGGATGGTCGTCCTGGTCGGCCTCGTTCCAAGGCCATCCCGGACTCTTTGGGGGGGGTTACTGTCACGACTCCCTTCAGCCCTGACACCTCAATGGACTCCATCTCCCAGAATCCTCTGGGAGATCATGTGACTCATGTCCTTCCACCCTGCACCAATCACCGTTCAGCTTCCCCTGAATACTAATCTGTTGCACCTGTTCTTGTCTTTGTTTGCCTAGTTAGAGTAGTATAAAGCCTGGGCTTTTAGTTAAACTCATTGCGAGGTATTGCATCTTTTGAAAGCTACTGAGCATTCACTTTAGTTATTGTTTTTCTGGATCCTGACTATCTTTCTGTGTTTTGGACTTTGCCCTCTTTGCCTTTGCCCTTTGGACTCTGTTTGCCTGGTGATGTTTGTTTGCTTGTATTTTCAGTCTTTTTTGGATTTGACCTATGCCTGTTTTTCAACTACGATTTTGGATCACGATTTTACAAGTAAAGCCTTTTTCTCTTTTTTCATCCACGAGCGTCTGAATCATTCTGGCACATTACAGTAACAATATTGTAAATATATAACTACAGTAGCCCATTTATCATTTAACAACTTAAAAACTTAACTGAAAAAAGTTTTTCAAAATAAAACATCTTAAAAATACTGTCTGGTGTGTAGCCTATAGTATTTCAATAGACACTATATAAGTTATTATTGAATAAAATAACAACAATAATCAATGTGATGCGTGATTCTAAACTTTTGATAAATTCTATGTAGACTCAGCATGAAAACTGATCTCCTTTCACCATCCAAAAACTTAACTTTATTGGTTATGAACAGGGTCAGAAACTACTTAACTAATTAAACGTCATACCTGTATTACTTTGGAAGATGTTGATTTTTCTTATATTCTGTATATTTCTTCTTACACAGTTTAAAAGATGTATTTGGTTTGTCCACCACTCACCTAAATCTCGAACTCTGTCTGCCATGTTTTACAACTTTATGCAGAAATGGAGAATCAGAAGCTTTTAGAGCACAGAGAAGATCTTTACATGACACTGTTTCACCTTTTATGTAAATGTTCCTAAAGATGTTCCAATGACTTGACAATGAAATAAAGAGGTGGACAGTACCTATTTCCAGGTATGCAGTTACAATACTTTAAGTAAGAATTATAAACAAATTAAATTCCATGTGTGATCTTGCCCCTGTTGAATATGACTTTTGATTGTGTGCAAAAATTATGTTTTGACTATTGTAAACTGTTCTCTGACAACAGGTGCTTTTAAAGATGCATGGGTGCTTCAGTTCCCAGTCATTTTAGACCCATTCCAATTTCCTTTCATCCACCATCTTAAAAACTTGAAAGGCCTCAGTCCCAAATGGTTCAATGTTAGGGCCTTTGCTTTTCTCTTTGTATATGTTACCTATGTCTTCGAGAAACGCGTTATCAATTTTTATAGCTATGCTGATGACACAAAATTATACATTTCCATTCCTTCTGAAAATCAAGACTGTTGACAGGCTTACCAGCTGTGTGTCAGATATTTATGATTGGATGTCACCCAAATTTGTACAAGTAAATTAAGAAAAAACTATAATATGAAATAAATGCAAAACCATGAACTGTAAATACTCATCCTCAGAGCTTACATTCAGAAAAAGCTACTTTGTGAGAAACTAGTTCTTTGGCTTCGTACCAAACCTGAAGTTCTAAACCTGGGTGTAATCTTCGCTTCTGAGCTCTTAGATTCTTTATATCTTCTCTACGGGAACTAAAGTAGCTTTTAATCATTTTAGAAATGTTGCTAAAGTTTGGCCTTTTCTATCATAATGAGGAGAAACATGTCCATGCATTTGTTACAGTTTATCACTGTAAAGCTCTTTTATCTGGGATTCCTAGAAAAACAATTTATCCTCTGCAAGTCGTACAAAACGCAGCAGCACAGACTAACAAAAATGAAAAGCAGAGCTCATTTCACCCCATTTTTCTCTCAAGATAGTAAATGTTCTTTTACTAGTTTTAAGGCTCTAAATCAGTGTCTCTCAGCCTGGAGGTCCTGGGGGCCCACCGCCCTGCATATTTTACTGCTCTTTGTTCTTTAAGTCATTTGAACTCAATAATGGGGCTTGTTAGTTGGATCAGGTGTGCTGGGAGCGGGTCAAACACTAAAAGTGCAGGACAGTGGGCCTCCAGGACCAGGGCTGAGAAACACTGCTCTACATGCCCTGTACAGATAACTGACCTGCGTTGAAGGAGACGCTCTGAGTTTGACCCTCCTCCGCCACCGTAGGTGCTTTAGGCCGGAAACATGGCGGCTGTCGCTTTGGTTAGCCGTCCTGTGAACGTCCTTCCCAGGATTTCCAGTAAGTATTAAACCGGACAGCTCGGTATTCCACTAATAATGAGTCTTCACGCTGAAACGAGGACACTTTAGGACGCAATATGGACCGCTAAAGCCGAGGCTAGGCGTTATTTAAAGGAACCAGCTGTCCTCTAACTCGCGCTGTGACCCCGCTGTTCGTTCTTCTGTCGTGAGACCATTTACTAATTTATTCTACTTAAATAGGTTATATACCATCAGCAGCCGGCTCCTCTGGGGCTACTGTCCATGAGCAAGTCATCCACTTATACCATATTCATAATCTGCGTGTGTTGTGTGGGGTTTCTCTGGCTAACGCTAGCTAGCTAAATACAGTGTTAAGCTGAAGTTGACTAGCTACTTGTTCAAATTTGACGTTCCACCTTAAATGCTGCAGCGGTAACTGTACAGCTGCTGTAACTGCTGCACCGTTTAAGGTGGAACGTCAAATTCGAACAAGAAGTCAACTTCAACTTCGTGCGCTAACTTACATATAATCTAATAAGTTGCTAATATATTTGTTTGAGCTTTTGAGGAGAGTTTTGGCTGTCAGTTAGTTAGCGAGATCAGCTAACTTAGTTTAGAAAATGAACAGATTTCTGCACTGCCTCGCTTTTTTGTTAGGGTTGGTGTTTTTAGTTTGGCCGTATAACACTGCGATACTTCAAGACGTTTCCAAGATATTCATCACATTGCTTACCGTTAATTTTTCAGAGGTTTGATGGCTGAGTTGGAAGGCATAAAGCCAGTGATGCCACGTTAAAAAATACTATCAAAAGCTGTGTGTACAGTGATTTCTATTCAGCGTGCTGCAAACTACACTGTACTAAAACCAGTTACACAGGGACAAACATGCAGTTGTTCAGTGTTCCTGACAAAAAGGATCGACAATATACGTGGAAAAGCATAATGAAAGGTACAATCAGATGCAGTTCATCATGGTTATAATAAAGATAAATATTGCCATATTAACCCATCCCTACTGAAAGACTGCAAAGTGTCATGCCCTTGCTCAAAATAGTGATCGAATAAAACAGTGCAGCTGAGCTATAAACAATACAAAAATAGACAGGATGCGCCAAGATGCCTCGTTCTGATCACTCACAGATTTTCCAGTGATGGATGGTCAATAAGAGATCCTGAGAAACTGAGAGGTGTATCAGTGAGACAGTTCTAGATTTCGTGTCAAACCCCTGCACTGTTTTGAATGTTAATTTACTCGCTTTTGATGATCTGACTTCAAAAAAAAAAAGTGGACTCCCTGTAGCAGAGTTTGTTCATCATGGTCTCATCAGGGGTAAACACTGCATTTCTAAAAACATGACACGTAGGAATTGTAGTGTGAAAGTGTTATTTGCACTGAGACGTTTTGCTCTTTCAGTAATGCATCATATCAATATAGTGTCTTCTCTGTTACTGTAAAGCATTATCACCTGTCTGTAAAGCACTTTGAACTGCCACCAGTATAAAAAGTGTTATATAAATAAAGATATTATGAAAGATATTTTTTATAATTATTCTTATTAATTGTAATAATGATGATAATAATAATAATAATAATAATAATAATATAGATATTTGTATTGTTCTGGGTTGTTTTTAGTGTGATTATGAAATGACCCATTGTTAGCAGCATTAAGGTGTGTAAACTGCTGCGTGCCCTGCTTTTCTCTTTCTAGGCGAGCTTCAGAATCGAGCCCATGTTTTCTCAAACGCAAGCAGCTCTTTCTAATAAGACCATAGCTAATCATGGCTATTTTGTTACATTGGATTTATATCTCCAAGTCTCCCAGTTTCCCTCTGCTCTTGTATACAGGTGCCTGCTCCCCTGTGGTGCTGGCAGCTGGGCCTGTTGCAGTTCAGCACAGGCAGATCCACCATGCCCTGATACCCAAGGGCAAAGGGGGGCGCTCCTCATCCAGCGGAATAGCAGCCACTGTGTTTGGGGCCACTGGCTTCCTGGGCCGATATGTGGTCAATCGACTGGGTAAGTCTCTGGTCAAGCTATTGTTTGGGTAGGTTTGGGTAAGTTGGGAATGACCCCTGCAGCAAATGCAGCATTTAAGTAATACTCTCCAACAACACAACAAACCTTAGGAATTGTATGCATAGGCATGACCCCAGAGATTTCCAAAGGGTTGGGGTGTCTTTCTCTCTCTCTGTCTCTCTCAACCAGATTGCAGGTTGCATTTTCTATGAATCTGGATGATAGCATAGCATATGGCCATATGATCTTCTAAGGCATCCATAGTTTCACAATTCAAGAAGTGTTTAATTTGGATATGTGTGCAGGGAGACTAAATATGATGAGAAGCAGCAGTCAAAAAAACATTTTCCCCCAATGTGAGGCAGGAACTAAAATGATCAAATCACTGCAGAGTTCCTGTAATTTTCTTAGAGGAAAAACACCAGCATGGCCAATCTGGAAGAAAGTAAAATCACAGAGTAGCAACTGTAAGCTTAAGTCAACTGATTGAATGAAAAATGTCTGGTGTGGTGTTCTGTGTCCTGTCATTTTGTGATATACACCGATCAGGCATAACATTATGACTTATCCTTGTTTCTACGCTCATTGTCCATTTTATCAGCTCCACTTACTATATAGGTGCACTTTGTAGTTCTACAGTTACAGACTGTAGTCCATCTGTTTCTCTGCATACTTTGTTAGCCCCCTTTTACCCTGTTCTTCAGTGGTCAGGACCCCCATGGACCCTCACAGAGCAAGTACTATTTGGGTGGTGGATCATTCTCAGCACTGCAGTAACACTGACGTGTTGGTGGTGTGTTTGTGTGTGTTGCGCTGGTCTGAGTGGATCAGACACAGCAGTGTTGCTGGAGTTTTTAAACACCTCAGTGTCTCTGCTGGACTGAGAAGAGTCCACCAACCAAAAATATCCCGCCAACAGTGTCCTGTGGACAGCGCCCTGTGACCACCAATGAAGGACTAGAGGATGACAAATACAAACTGTGCAGCAGCAGATGAGCTGTCGTCACTGACTTTACATCTACAAGGTGGACTGACAAGGTAGGAGTGTCTAATAGAGTGGACAGTGAGTGGACACAGTGTTTAAAAACTCCAGCAGCACTGCTGTGTCTGATCCACTCATACCAGCACAACACACACTAACACACCACCACCACGTCAGTGTTACTGCAGTGCTGAGAATGATCTACCCCCAAATAGTACCTGCTCTGTGATGGTCCATGGGGTCCTGACCACTGAAGAACAGGGTAAAAGGGGGCATATAAAGTATGCAGAGAAACAGATGGACTACAGTCTGTAACTGTAGAACTACAAAGTGCATCTATATAGTAAGTGGAGCTGATAAAATGGACAATGAGTGTAGAAACAAGGAGATGTTCATAATGTTATGCCTGATCGGTGTATATTGTACTGTATTGAATAACTTGCTGCCAATAAGCAGCTTGTGTCAAAATGTATATTAATGTCCTTCATTGATGAGTTTTGTTTTTCTGTTTCAGGGCGAATTGGCTCTCAGGTAGTGATCCCTCACCGGTGCGACCAGTATGATATCATGTACCTCAGACCCATGGGCGATCTCGGCCAGATCATCTTTATGGTATGTTATTTTCTGTTTTAGAGCTTTCTATGACCACTTGCGTTGTGCTCCCCAGTCAGTGGCACAGGCTTCTTTTACTTTTGGATTGCAAGTTCTCATGCAGCTCTGACAGGCTTTGGTGGTTTTTTTCAGGAATGGGATGCAAGGGATAAAGAATCAATCAAAAGAGCAATAGCTCACTCCAATGTTGTAATCAATCTGGTGGGAAGAGAGTGGGAGACCAGGTATGTAGGAATTCAGACTCACTCTGTGTGGACCTAAAATTTAATTGTAAGTCAGTAGTTGCTAGACTCTCTTGTGTAACGTTTTTTTTGTGTTTTGTTTTGTTTTTTTTTGTTTTTTTTTCCTGCAGCAACTATAAGTTTGAGGATGTGTTTGTCACCGTCCCTCAGCAAATTGCAAAGGCATCGCGTGAAGCTGGAGTCACAAAGTTTATCCACATGTCCCACCTAAATGCAGACATCCGCAGCCCCTCGAAATACCTGAGAAATAAGGTAGTGTTTAATTCAGTGTTTTCTTTTTGTTTTTTTTTTTTTAAATGTATACGTTCAGTTGATTTTATAATTCACTGCTCTAATCGGAAAAATAATGTGTTGTGCAGGCTGTTGGAGAGATAGCTGTGAGAGACGAATTCCCAGATGCCATCATCATGAAGCCGTCAGAGTTCTTTGGAAGAGAAGATCGTTTTTTCAACCACTTTGCTAGTATGTGTCTAGTAGTATGTCTTTTTTTTCTGCAAAGGTCAGCAGCGTCAGAAGCATCTGGAAAAGGGCTGTATTTGTTTTAGCCGTTGTCCACGAGCACATATACTTTATATCCATGTGTCTACAAGCAGATTTTATATAAATACTTTAGGCTTTAGGTGACTCTCTGTGAGGGAAAAATGCTTACATTGAATTTCAACGTGTCCACTTTGTTTGCTGTTCTCTGTGCAGATATGCGCTGGTTCGGTAAGGCTGTTCCTCTTATAGCAATGGGCAAGAAAACAGTCAAACAGCCTTGTCATGTGAGTACGTTACTCTGAGTGATATCTTGATAGTAAATTTAGATTACTTTTTAATGTTTTTTTTATCAATATTCATTCAATCTATATTATTTATTGTTATCTCTTAAGAGTGACAGATAAGATCTGGGTCCTATCTTACAAACTGCTGCCTATAAAGTAAACAAGTTTTGAATACTCAAGCTGTGGTTATTCCTTGTGCACGTGCACATGAAAGCATGGCATTTATGACTAACGTGATGCATGGGGGGGTTGAGTGGCTTGTTTATCAACAGGGGGGAAAAAAAATGCTGTGGAAAGTAAATCAGTTTTAACTGTAAAAATGCTCTTAAGCAGTACTGACATTCACAGTATCTAGGTAATATAATTTGCCTGCTCTGCTAAAAATATTCACGTGATTGACTTCTCAAAGGTCATGAAGGGGGAAAAAAACTGGCCGAAGAGTTCCACCTCTGTTAGAAACCTGTCAATGATTTGATCAGTACCTCAGCCTTAAATGGTCCAAGAGGTGTTATGCTCTGAGTTTATGATCATAAGTTGTCATGCTAATCTTGATAAAGTGATCCACCATCATGAACAGAACTAAGCTTAAAGTAAGCTGGTTACTCAAGAAATCCTGCTCTGTTTTCATGTGTGTTTATTAATGTTACTGTCTTTGACAGCATGTCTAACTAATGTTTAGCTGACAAATATGTGCAATTATGGCTCCTCTTTTGCCTTTAGGTGGTGGATGTGGCTAAGGCCATTGTCAACGCCATCAAAGATCCTGATGCCAATGGCAAAACATACGCATTAGTTGGGTAAGAACTGACCATGTCTGTAAGAGGAAAAAGTATTGCCTTTATTTTCTGCTGATGCCTGAGTGTATCATCACCTATAGTGCTTTGATCATGGTTAATCCTTTTTCCATACCTGCGTGGACTTTGTGGTGAAATATTAACATTGTTATTGCCAAAAAGCGATCGCCTATCTTGCACAATATCTATATACACCATCTGTCCACTTCATTAAATACACCTCCTTTTCTCTACAGTCTTTGTCCGTTTTATCAGATGCACTTATATTGGTGCACTTTGTAGTTCTACAATTACAGACTGTTGTCCATCTGTTTCTCTGCATACTTTGTTAGCCCCCTTTTACCCTGTTCTTCAGTGGTCAGGACCCCCATGGACCCTCACAGAGCAGGTACTATTTGGGTGGTGGATCATTCTCAGCACTGCAGTAACACTGATATGGTGGTGGTGGTGGTGGTGTGTTTGTGTGTTGCGCTGGTCTGAGTGGATCAGACACAACGGTGCTGCTGGAGTTTTTAAACGCTGTGTCCACTCACTGTCCACTCTATTAGACACTCCTACCTTGGTGGTCCCCCTTGTAAATGTAAGCTATTGGCTGGATGTTTTTGGTTGGTGGACTATTCTCAGTCCAGCTGTGACACTGAGGTATTTAAAACCTCCAGCAGCACTGCTGTGTCTGATCCACTCAGACCAGCGCAACACACACTAACACACCACCACCACATTGGTGTTACTGCAGTGCTGAGAATGATCCATCACCCAAATAATACCTGCTCGTGTGGGGGTCGTGACCATTAAAGAACAGGGTGAAAGGGGGGCTAACAAAGTATGCAGAGAAACAGATGGACTACAGTCTGTAATTGTAGAACTACAAAGTGCACCTATATAGTAAGAGGAGCTGATAAAATGGACAAAGCATGCAGAAACAGGAAATGCACTTAAGTGGCTGGTCAGTATATGATTTAATATAGACTGGACCACTGTGTAATCAGGGGGGTCTTTTTATTTAAAAAGTTCCACCCAAGAAATGTCACACAGAAGGTTGACTGGATTTATCTCTGAGAGAGACATAAAGATGTCTGTAGTCGTCCCTAAAGAAAAACATATGACCTCTAAATGAAACACTCAGTCAGCTCATTGCCACAAAGCATGTCAAGGTGACTCTGTCCCTGGTGCTTACGGTTTCCCACTACCCTTGTCAAACTGCCATGATGAATTGTTTAAACAAAGCACTGTGTAAATACAAGGTAATGTGTCACCATCTTTTACATCAGGCCCAACCGATACCTACTGCATGACCTGGTGGAGTATGTGTACGCTCTAGCCTGGAGACCTTTTGTGGCTTACCCAATGCCACGCCCACTCTATCAGTAAGCATCGTCAGCATATTCTTTTGTATGTTAACCTGAAGTGGATAGTTTTACATTATTTATGCTGTCTAATTATTCAGTGTCAGAATATAACGCATTTGTTTTTCTGGTTTTAGTCTTGCCGCCAGGTTCTTTGAGATAAATCCGTTTGAGCCCTGGACAACTCGCGACAAAGTTGACCGGGTATGTATGCTAGGCCTGTAACTTCGAGGCAAGTGTACATCTCTAAGGCACTGAACTTTATTGATATCACCATTGAAATCTGCTGTTAATGCTGCTCAAGTGGCATTTAACACTACTCCATGTAGGAACATGCATCCCTATGCAGTTTTCTTACACTTTGTTTGACTTGTCTGTGGTGATTCTCCGTTAAAAAGCCTGATTCCAGACCAGGCTTAATTAATGGGGTGGGAAAAGTAATCAATTGTTAGATGCGTTGTGATTCTTTTGAGGAAGAAAAGAAGTGCAGGATGTCACTAATGTGCACATTTGCTGTCACAAATTGGTCATAGTTTTAAATATGAAAAATAAAGCCGTAAACCAGAGTCGCTTTTTTAACAGCCACCTCGTCAAATTGTTATTGAGCTAATCCAGTAATTTTCAGAGTTAAGAATTTGCTGAAAGTTTATCTGTAAAGTTGCAACATATAAAGTTAAGCAAAAACGTTACCTGAACGTCTCTTGCAAGCTTCAGATGTCCACATTTAGGCTAGAACTGTAACTAGTTTGGGCAGGTCAAAATAACATATAACTTGCAACCACATTTAAGATGGTAATTGCATCACAGTGTTAAATGGATAAAAAAGCTTCTTATAATGAAGTTTCTGCATTAAGCACTGCTATACATGCTTAGTTAATGACAAATACAAGGAAGAAATCATAATGTAGCCTAGAGAAATAAAAAAACAAGATGCATCAAGAATCATTTTATAATCACATTTGCCACCTGGAATTGAAAATGAACCATGAAGTGTGAAGAGATCACTACCACTCAGTTTTTTTCTGATCGTTGGAACTTAATTGCTTTACAGCACAGGTTCCCAACCGCTGTTCTGTACATTGTAGTGCTTTACCCACACACACCCACTTCAAGTCAGGAAGAGCTTCAGTTGTTTTATTTGGGGTTAAAAACAATAAAAGGTGAAGGACATTTGGTCCTCCAGAACCAGGAATGGTTTATGATATTCAAAATAGCTGTGTCCTGTCTCTTCCCTCCACCTACTAGTTCCACACCACAGACATGAAGTATCCTGGCCTACCGGGCTTTGAGGATCTGGGTATCACACCTTCCTCCGTGGAGCAGAAAGCCATTGAGGTCTTGCGTCGCCATCGCCGCTTCCGTTTCTTGGAGGCCGAGCTGGGGGAGACCAAACCTGCCAAAACAGTCACCTACTGAGCAGTCCACGAGCGATGGTCTCTCACTCCTCCTCATGTGCTGTCTTGTTTGAATATGACTCTGTACATAAATACACAAATAAATAATGTCCAACCTACATCTTGGGCTCAGAGTGTTTGGTGGCATGAGTGACTGTTTTCATTAAGAGGCACTTTGGATCAGATTCCCAGACACAGATTAAGCCTAAACCTAGAATAAAACTATTATTTAGCAGTGGTTCACATTTGGCACTGCAATTTGGTCCAGGACTAGGTTTAATCCATGTCTGGGAAACCAACTTTTTATCTTTAATGGAGAGCATACATAAGGGGTACGGTCAAAACTGCCTGAGAATGGCAAGTTAAAAAAATATATAAAATATCATGTGTGGACTTTCATCTTTCTATAATGGGTCTTTTTTTTTCTAGTGCATTACAGGTGTTGTGTACTGCATTTGTAAGTCTTGGCAGTGAAATTCCTCTTAAGATTAAATTTAGTCACAAAGGAGAGCACTTAAAGAAGGCATCATGAGAATGACATTAGGATTTTCAGTTTTTCACAAAAGAAAAAAACAATGGTGGGTAAATACATTTCATTGCTGAGTGCATTGTTACAGTAATAGGTACATGGTTCAAGAGTATTGTATATAAACAGAACTGCAGGCCTCAAGTACCTTTTTCTTGGCTGTTGTCGTCCAGTTCCTTTCTCATTCCTGCCTTCAAGGTTGTTTTTTGCTCAACAGTTATTAAAGTTTTAATGCTCTTTGTTTTTACATATGTTTCCTGCTCATGTCCTGTAAACTGATGGCAACCACTCCCTTCTGTCTTATCTGGCGTGTCCTGTGTTAATGGGTTGCAGTAGTTACCTGAGCACAGGCGCTTCTGGACTGTGTCACCTCAGTCTCTGATCACACAGGCTTAAATGATATTGCTGGAGCTCTCGTTTGAAAATGAGGAGCCGTGGTGTGATTAAAGGACTGGGTTACCTCGGCACTGTTGCACTCCTGCTGTACATGGTGTCGTATGTCATTTTCTCCAGACATCAGCAGAGCTCCACAGACAGCAGCAGAGTACAGAGGGCAGCCGATGAAAGTATTTTAAAGAAGCTGGAGGGAATCGAGCAAAGGGTGAGAGAAATAGGTGAGTGTGTTCAGGTGCCTTGATCTGATTCAAGACTGCCTGCTGTGGGCAGAAGAGATACTTTTACTCATGTATTATTATTATTCTTTTTTATTATTATTTTTATGTAATCCTGATTTATTTCTTTGAGACTATGTCAGTCAGTCATTTATTTATTTATTTATTTATTTAATTTTTGTATATTAGACATTGCCCCTTTCTCTAACTGGGAGTTTATGAAGATGATCTATTTCAGTAAAGTTTAAATAAGCAGCACTTTAAAGCGTTGATCCTACAGCTCGCTGCCTTTTGGGTTCCAGTAAAGATAATGAAGTTTACTGTGCGTTAAAAAACGCTGAATAATATTAATTCTAAAAATGCTTTTTAAAACATTTTAAATGTTAAAACATATGTGTCAAAAAAACAACACATTCTGTCTCTAACTAGACACATTAGTGTGTTCAGTTGGAGACTTTTAACACAAAATGTGTTGAAATATTTTTGTGCCTAGTTATGGATAACACATTTTGGATTTTTTTTTTTTAATAATATGTTAAAATTCAGAAAACAATACGTCACAAAAACTGCTTTTGACAAACTATTAAGTGTGTCAGTGTGCGATTTTGGACGCAACCAAAGTTTGGAGGTCAAATAGGCCATAGATAACTCCCCCATGCATTAACCCTAGGCTGCGTCCCAAACCGCATACCTCTATACTACACATACAATTCTCATGACTGTACTTCTAATGGTGGCGTGCTCGTGCTGACAGTGTGCGGTTTTGGACGCAGTGAAAGCTCGTAGGCCTGTCTCCATAATGATTACTCAGTAAGATAACGCTCATAACCTGCAAGCGCGTTAATATGATTTCAAATTGTTCCCAGTAATTTTGGACAATTTCTATGTGTCGCATTCAGTTGGTAGTAAAATGGCAGAATGTGAAAGGAAGCTCATGTTTGCAAATGGAGCGAATAAAAGTCAAAAGCTCTGTTGGTTAGAATAACAGCACTGGGAAGCGCATTATCAGTCTGAAGCAATGCAGTGGCATCTTCTCCACAGTGGAGTCTTTGGAGCAGAATCAGAAAAGACAACAGAGTGGAGCAGAAGAGAAGCCGAAGCAACCGGAGCCAAAGAAGAAGGTGGCTCATAAAAAGTTGTTCCCCAACTCATATCTCTTCTCCAAGTGGGGTGATGATCTGTCAGAGGAGGAGCAGAAGGAGGCAGAGCAGCTCTTTGTAAATTTTGGCTACAATGTGTTCCTCAGTGACAGACTGCCCCTCAACAGGAGCCTGCCGGACACTCGAGACCCCAAGTAAGAAAAAAATAATAAATAAATAAAAAAAATAAAAAATTTATATATATATATATATATATACAAATAAATAATTAAAATATATATATATATATATATATATATATATATACAAATAAATAATTAAAAAAAATATATATATATATATATATATACAAATAAATAATAAAAAAAATATATATATATATATACAAATAAATACATACATACATACATACATCATCTAAACCGCTTATCCTGCTGGGTCGCGGTGGGGTGCTGGAGCCTATCCCAGCTGTCATTGGGCGGAAGGCAGGATACACCCTGGACAGGTCGCCAGTCCATCGCAGGGCAGACAGACAGACATACACATTCACACACACACTCACACCTAGGGGCAATTTTAGCACGTCCAATCGGCCTGATTGCATGTCTTTGGACTGTGGGAGGAAACCGGAGTACCCGGAGGAAACCCACGCAGACACGGGGAGAACATGCAAACTCCACACAGAAATGACCCTGGTCACCCAGCCGGGAATCGAACCCAGGCCATTCTTGCTGTGAGGCGCCACCGTGCCGCCTACAAATAAATAATTAAACAAAAAAAAAAATAAAATAAAAAATAAAAAAAAATAAATATATATATATATGGGAAGGAAAAAACAAACCTTACTTTTAATGTAAGTCAATGGACCCAGACTTTTTTTCCAAGTAATTTTGGGCCATTTCTTTTGGTCCGTTCATCACGAAATATTATATTTTGATATTCTGAAGCATTTTCAAATTCTGCCAAAAACTGAAAAATGACAAAAATGGAGAACAAGGTTTTATATATATATATATATATATACAAAACCATTTATTTATTTATTTATTTATGCATCAAGCCATCTGTTTATCTAAGCCCAGTGACTGTCTCCATGCTGCTATATCACATTTCACACACTATCCCTGAAAATGAGACAGCTAGAAACATTCAGCTTCGGATGTAATCGAATGTTGATATTGTCGCCATCCAAAGAAAAAGAAGTATCTCCCTTTTTCTGATTTCTAGTTTTCTGCATCATTAGAGCGCGACAGCTGCTGTTTACATTGGGAGAAAATGTCATGAAGCTTGGACCAATAGAAATGCCCCAAAAATGCTTGGAATAAAATCTCTTCGCATTAACTTACATTGAAAGTGAAGAATATTGTTGCCCTCCTTCAAAGTTACTATTTTGTGTTCAATTTACAAAGTTACAATTTCTTACAAAAGTTCATGCCTATTCCCATCCTACAGTAGTGTTGCAGGAGTCTCTAGAGTGAGATTATCCAGTTTAAAGTCTAGAAAAACCCCCTTCTGATGATGCATCTTCAAGGTGGGAGGAACTTTTGAAAAACTGCAAGGGCTTTGGGGTGGATACTTGAGGGCGGGCTGTTTGAATTTTTTCCCACCCCCATCAGCTGCTAGGATTTCATTGTCACAGTAGGGGAAGGCTGGGGGAGGTTCCCAATGATTGTTCGATGTGTGCATGCTGGGTGAGAACGCTGATGTGTGAAAACACAAAAAGGATCCAAAATTGTGAATTCTGTCTACCTGCTGAGGCTGAGGGATGTAATGCTGCGCTACAGAATATTACAAAATATGACATATAATATACTAAAATAATATATGGTAATTTTCGTCCAGAATGCCCCTTTAAAATGTGTTTAAAATGCAAATGCAGTTCATTGTGATGGTAAAGGAACATATTGATATGGACATCATTATTTGATCATCATAATATGATCATAATATGATCATCATTATACAGTAGCATGACTGAATATTGGCAGATTTTGGATTCAGATTAGACTAGATAACTAAAATTCTTGAATGCTGCCTAAAAAGGTTAAATGTGGCCCTAATTGAAGAATCACCTAAACATGTGTTCTTCAGATGTCTAGGCCGACTTACTGAAGACATTAACTGTGTTTCTGGTTACTCAGATGTGCTACTAAGGTTTATCCAAAGGAGCTCCCAACAATCAGTGTGGTTCTGATCTACCTGGATGAGGCTCTGTCCATCATACAGAGAGCCATACGCAGCATCATCGACAGAACACCTCCTCACCTCCTCAAGGAAATCGTACTGGTGGACGACCACAGCACTAATGGTCTGTAACTTCACTCACAAGTCTTAATATCATATAGAGTAGGATCTGCATGATTGTGTCTCCGTGTGCAAAGGTGACACAACTGCTGCAGCCTCGCCTGTCAGTTCACTGAGCACCTTATCTTTATCTGATAAACAGCCTTAACGAACATCCTACAGATATGGGGGCCAGGGAATCATGACACAGTGCTGGTTTAACCTGAAAAGGTTTGAAGAGATCAGTCTGTTTGTAATCTGTAGTTTTTCCTTCATAGAGGACCTCAAGGGGAAGCTGGATGAATATATTTTCTCAATTCATCAAGAGAGGCCTGATTTAATTAAGAGAGTGAGACACCAAGAGCGACTTGGCTTAGCACACACACGCATTTCAGGATGGGAGGCAGCTGTTGGTGATGTTGTGGCCATTTTGGATGCCCACATTGAGGTGCATAAGCAATGGTAAAAGGAATTCTTTTATCAGTTTATCAGTTTATCTTTTATCGGTTTATCAGTAAGCTGATAAGAAGAAGAAGTCTGTGCAGTTTGTAGGGTTGCTTTTAATTCTAATTCTTTGCTGCGGCGCCTCTGCTAGCACGTGGGAGTTAAACTCCAGCAATATTTTTAAAATGTATGCATAATTCAATGGTTGAAAGTAAACAAAATCATTCAGAGTTGTTTGATGTGAAACGGTTCATTGTAGAGAAAACTTACCAGCTCTCTCTTTACAGTGGTGGTGATAGGAACTAGGGGTCACAATGTCTACAACACATACATACATACATACATACATACATCCATCATCTAAACCGCTTATCCTTCTGGGTCGCGGTGGGGTGCTGGAGCCTATCCCAGCTGTCATTGGGCAGAAGGCAGGATACACCCTGGACAGTCAGACATTTGGCTTACACATTTAGTGTAACGACTTCATGTAATTCAGCTTTGCATTAAACACTTCAGATGTCTGGTTCCTATCACCACCTCTGTGAACTCAGTAATTTTCTCTAAAATGAAGCTTATCACATCAAGCCACATCTTAACCATTTAATTAAGCAGACAATTTGAAAAATCATTGGAATTCCCCTTTAAGTGCCTTGATTAGAAGAGCTGTAGGTGCATCTACAAAAAGTATGTAATTTAGCTTGTCATCTGCTTGTTATCATTTTGTCATTGCGGATTAACATGGTGAAACATTCGTCAATATTTAGGGCAGAGCCACTGCTGGCTAGAATCAAAGCCGACAGGACGGTTGTGGTGTCTCCCGTGTTTGACAGAGTGAATTACGACACCCTTGACGTGGTTACATACGAAGCAGCCGCCCATGCTTTTGACTGGCAGCTCTGGTGCATGTATGAGTCCTTCAGGCCAGAGTGGTACAAACTTGACGACAAGTCAGAGCCAGGAAAGTGAGTGACACTCATTGAATAGCATCACTTTGCTTATAAATATGAAACATACCTAGAATACCTGTAATACTTCAAATGACAGTTTGACCAAAAAGCAGATTTACACAGTTTTGTTCTACTTGAAATAGAGTCGATCAGCCAAGACATGTTTTGTTGGTATGGTGTAGTGGCTAACACCACTGCCCTTAATGTGGCATTACTGAGGTCTGATTCCCTGCCTGGACAAGCATACTGCACTTCAAGACACCTAACGCTACATCTATGACTTGATTAAATTTTAAGTCACTGTCGACTGAAGTTTGCTTCTTCCCCAGGAGCTAAAAGGTTAATGTAGCTAAGAAGTAAAGGAAGCTTACACCCCACCAATTAGCAGTGTGCAAACTGCTGTCAGTTTTCTTGTTTGATAAGAAAGAAATAAGCTGCACCTTCAGATGAAATACACTAAAGCAAACACTGGACTTCAGTCAGTGTTATGTGGAAGAGAACTCGTCATCTCGTACACTAGTCCTTTTCTCAAACTTGTGAAACAATACAAATGATGGCATGTCTAGGAGTGCATAAAGTTAATATTTAATCACTCATGCAAGCACTGTAGAGTCTTCTTTAATCAGGCTAACAAAACTAACTATAAGCAGCTAAGTTCTTAAAATTTAATGTCATATTAAAATCAGTTTAGTAAATACAGTAACACAAAGGCCCAATCCCATTTCACCCCTCGCCCCTACCACTTAGCCCTTAGCCCTCTGTTTTGCGTGTTCACATCTAGGGTTAGGGTGTCCCGATTTTTGTTGAGATAGAGGGGTAGGGTGAAGTGTTAGGGCTACATGGCCCTCCAAACAGACGTTTTTCAGTCACAATCCAAACGGAGTCTTATGAGAAAAAAAGAAAAACCGGCAAGTTGGCTTCGCGAGCAACCAAAGAAACCCACAAATGTGAGAATTTTCTTAATTAAAATCACGATAATCATTGTTTTATCTTAGTTTAATGTCGTTTCAATGTATTATGGTTGTTTTCTTCGTAACGAGCATAAAAAATCGCTAAAGTATGCTAATGTCTCGGTAGCTAGCCAGCTAATTTTCCCGTTCCACCTTAAATGGTCCTGCAGCGTTAACGCCTGAAGCGCCAGAATGTAACTGCTTTTAAGGTGGAACGGGAAAATTCGAACAAGAACCTGGTGAATATCTGACTTCAGCTTCGTATCACCAAATAATTAGCGGTGGGCTACAATAAGTAATTGTCGTATCCCCCCTCTTTGAAGGCATATGATGCTCTAAATGTAACTAAAGCCCAGCAATGAGGAGCTGAACTTTTCCCTTCTCTGCTATCACTGAAGACTGGCCGGGTCACCTACAGAGCAGTGCTAGTAGCCTGTTAATGAAGTGATGTGTTTTTTGTTTTTTTTTTTATTTGAGGGTTTGTCCCATTTCGTAGGGCAAAATTTCAACCACTACCCCTTGTAACTCCGTTCCAAGGGGTTAGGGTGACACTCGAAAACAAGGGGTAGGGGTAAAAAGAACAAATGGGATTGGACCAAAGTTTAGCTGTCTGTACAGCCAGCATAAGTCTGCCTGTGAGTGTGGCCCTCTATATTGTTTAATACAAATCTGAACTACAAGCTCCACACTAACACTTTTACACATCTCTTAGCATAATAATTCAGCCTTACTTTTATTGACATCAATGTCACTCCAAGGTTGTTCTGATGAGTTTTGTTGGAGCTTTTCCTTCACTTGAGGGAGAAAGTTCAGTCAATTAGTGATCTGTAAGCTTCCATTACTTGTAAGCTACATTAGCTCCAGTGCTAAAGTAACCAGGCAAATTTTGGAAATCAAACCTGTCTATGCTGATTGACTATATTTGGTGTAAATTTGAGTTTTAGCCAAAACATCGCTTTAACAGAAGACATTCTAACATTGCTGATAATACAAGTCAGCTAATGTAGCTTTTTGAGCATACTACAACTCAAAAACAGAACACTTTTAGATAGAATGACTCCAGGAAGCTGTTTTAGGCCCATTCACATGATTTTGGTTCTCACTGTACACATTACAGTGTGTGGTTTGTTCATATGTGATAAACCGTGTCCAGTTCAGAAGAAATTGTGAATTAATTTCTGCCATTGTGTTCAGGAGTCCATCTGTCATGGGGATCCTTGTGGCCGACCGGTTATTCTTGGGAGAGATCGGAGTGCTGGACAAAGGAATGCAGGTGTACGGAGGCGAGAACGTAGAGCTTGGAATACGAGTAAGTTGTCACACGTATCTTGATTCTACAGTATAAGCATATTAAAATATGTGAATATGGTGAATCTGGTCTTTGCTTTACTGTAGGTTTGGACCTGTGGAGGAAGCATTGAAGTGGTGCCGTGCTCCAAGATCGCCCACATTGAGAGGTCACATAAGCCATATGCACGAGACCTGAGCGTGCCATTGAAAAGAAATGCGCTAAGGGTGGCTGAAGTCTGGATGGATGAGTTTAAAACTAACGTTCTTGTTAGCTGGAATCTGCCCTTAGAGGTTTGTACCAGTAAGACCTGATTGTACAGTACTGAATTTTACAGTAATGAATTTCTGTTCCGAATTTTGTCGTTAAGGATTGTGTTTCAGGTAGGCTCATAATCAGTTCTCGTTTTAACTGAGGTGGCAGTTTCTGTGCAAGCGATATATTATTGTTAATTATATCTAATATAAAATAATGTTTATTCTAACATTTATTAAAAAAGGTCAATAGCAAAAAAAAGTCAAATTATTTGGATTGCAAGGTCTGCAAGACTGGTGTGTTTGCTTCTCCTTCCTCAAAATAATAGCAAAAGTTTGGATACGAAACACTTTGTGATGAAGCTGCCTCATTAGCCAAAGCTTGATTGCATTCATACTGCACAAAGCATTTGTTTTTTAGTGAGAGCGAAAGGCTAATTAATAATAGCCTTTATTATTTTTTTATTTGCATTTATTTTACCTTATGAAAAGACCGGAATTTTTCTTCAGACTTTTAAATTTATTTAGTTATAAAATTTTGAGTTTTACATGCTGTAAAAAACAAAAGACATAAAATATTAAATGTGCCATAATGGCCACATGTTATGTTTAATTTTTTTCCCTCCAATGTGTTAAATTTAGCAAACAGTAATTCTGCATTATATGTGCAGAAGTGTTCCTGTAGAGGTGTGCTCAACTCATTTTCGCATTGAAAATCAGCATATCATTTGCCAAGGGGCGACAAAACTTTTGCAGATGACTGTACACAACATTCAATTTTTTTTTTAGAAAGAAATTATATTTGGATTTCTTTCTTTCTACTTTCTTCATAATTCCATGTGTTCCTTCAGTCACATGATGTCACATGATTTAAACGGTAGTGTATATGCATGCTTTTCAGCTGTTTTTGAATCCTGCATGTCCATGTGTATTCCTACACTTTTTGTCCATTTTACAAGCTCCACTTACCATATAGGAGCACTTTGTAGTTCTACAATTACAGACTGTAGTCTGTCTGTTTCTCTGCCCCCCCTTTCACTCTGTTGTTCAATGGTCAGGACCCCCACAGGACCACCACAGAGCAGGTATTATTTGGGTGGTGGATTATTCTCAGCACCACAGTGACACTCACGTGGTGGTGGCATGTTAGTAGTGTGTGTTGTGCTGGTACGAGTAAAGCAGACACAGTAGTGCTGCTGGAGATTTTTAAACACCTCAGTGTCACTGCTGGACTGAGAATAGTCCAGCAATCAGAAACATCCAGCCAGCAGTGTCCTGAGACAGCTGATAAAATGGATACTCTCACAAGAGTAAAGTATGGTGTTCCACAGGGCTCTGTCTTAGGACCCATATACATTATATATATATATATATATTTCAGCTAAACCAGAGGACAAAATTGAACTTAATAAGATAGAGGACTGTGTCAAAGACATTAAAGAATGGATGTCAATTAACCTCCTCTTACTAAATTCGGACAAAACAGAAGTTCTTCTTCTTGGTCCAAAAGCTGCTAGGGATAACCTGCCTACGTTTACTCTTAATCTCGATAGTTTCTCAGTTGCACCAGGCACATCTGTAAAAAGCCTTGGTATCACGATTGATCCCAGTCTGGCCTTCGATGAGCATATTACCAATATTACCAGAATAGCTTTCCTCCACCTGCATAACATCGCTAAATTAAGAAATGCACTGTCGCTACAGGATGCAGAAACGTTAGTTCACGCCTTCATCACGTCCAGGTTAGATTACGGTAACACTCTGCTTTCTGGTTGTTCCAGCCAAAACCTTAACAAGCTTCAGTTAGTCCAGAACGCTGCAGCCAGAGTTCTCACCAAAACCAGGAAATTTGACCACATTAGCCCAATTTTGTGTACCTTACATTGGTTGCCAGTTAAATTCCGCATTGAGTACAAAATTCTTCTGCTTTGAATGCTCCTCAGTGACCTTATTTCCTATTATCAACCGACACGCCCACTTAGATCACAAGGTGCTGCTTATCATTAGTACCCAGAATAAATAAAGTTATGTCAGGAGGAAAAGCCTTTTCATACAAAGCCCCCCAGCTTTGGAATAGCCTACCAGTCTGTGTTCGGGACTCAGACACAGCCTCCATCTTTAAGTCTAGGCTAAAAACTTACCTGTTTAGTTGAGCCTTTGGTTAATTTGTTTTCCTAACTTTGTCCCTCTTATAAATAATGCTTTGGATTGAAATGAGAGCCACTATGTGTTCATCAAAATAATTTCTATCTGTTGTTGTTCAGAATCATGGAATTGATATAGGGGACGTGACAGAGAGGAAGAAGCTGAGAGAGAAATTAAAATGTAAGCCCTTCAAGTGGTACATGGACAATGTGTATCCTCAGCTTGACACCTGGGAGGACCTAGTCGCCTATGGTGTTGTAAGTAGCATTAGTTTCTCTTATAATTTGTTTATTCTAAGTATTTCAGGAATCTAGATGGAGATGGAGATAAAGAGAAATTAATACATAAAGGTTTTGAAAATATTTAAAACAATAGTCGGTGCACTTCAGTGCTTGATTGATTCTCTGCTGACCTTTGACAGATGCAGAATGACCTATCAGGCCAATTCTGTATTGATCAGGGACCCGTTCCAGGGAGTGTACCTATTCTGTACCAGTGCCATTTCTATGGCCCTCAGGTGTGTGTTCTGGCAGTGGCACCACAATGTCTCAATTTTAGACAATAGCAAAGATCTCAGCATGTTTTGTGTTCTTGGAAAGACAATTTTCTCATCTAAGTCATTATGACACCAACATTTTCACGCTTTTTATACAGATCTGTTACTACAGGCTGAGTGGAGAGATTTACATTGGAGGCATCAAATCTCATAAGTACAATAGCAATCGTTGCCTGGTGGATCCTGGTGAGGGACATGTACCTGGACTGCATGACTGTAAATTAGCCAAGGAGAAAGGGTTCCACATGTACTGGAACTTTAAACAGGTATTGACATTGGGCACTACAGCATTTACTGTTTTCCTAGCTTAACACACCTGATTCAACTGATTAAATAACTTCCTGCTTCCTGATGACAGGGCCTGCATCCAAATGGTCAAAAGAAACTTTTTGTATTGTTCTTGATTTTGCCTGATCTGTAGCCCATGGCCTCACTAAATATATTGGCAGAGCTGACCACTATGTGGATCCAAATGGCTACCAGATCAGGCAAAATCTAGGGCAGCAGATTGGACGTTTCCTTTGATTATTTGGAATAGGCAACAAAAGAGGAACATAGTATTCTATCTCTGTCATGTTAAGGTGTGGTGGTAAAGCCACTACTTAAGCAGGGAACATTGAGTCCAGCAGCTGAGGTTTATATTTGAATCGCAGTAGCACCCAACAGCTCCTAATAGGACATCTCTGCACTTGTCATTTCTAAACTAGGGGAAAGTAAACATGCAATAAATTCCATTGCTTTTTGCATTCCATTGCATTGCTTTTTGACACATAACCCCAAACTATCCTTGCAACTGGTTTGTGAAAGTGATGTATGTTAAGGTGTCTGTTCACTTTACTTACAGGGTCAGGCAGTAAGGAACAGACACACAAATAGATGTCTTGAGATTGCCCAAGGACGAGATTCATATTACCAGCTTGTCATTCAGACATGCAGTGGGCAACACTGGAGGATACAACACCTCATAAAAGACTTTTAACCAGCTTGCAATGGCCTCATCTTGTTCAAAGATCAACGCAATGTCTGCTACGGTTTTGACTTGCCAATGACATCCAAATAAAGATGCCATTAATTCAGTTCCAGATGTGATATTGCCATTATTATTTCTGCACAAAATGACATACAGGGCTCCATGTCACCTGCAGTACATGTATGTTACAACTCGACAGACCATATATTAAATCTCTAATGACTTTGTTCTCAACACCAATGGCCATAGAGCACCTCTGTTCATTGTTAGTTCTACACAAAAGAACAGGTGCTCTTGGGTCTTTTCTAAAATTAAACAGCATGTTACTGTGGGTAGCGCTGTCGCCTCGCAGCAAGAAGGGCCTGGGTTCGATTCCTGGCCAGGCGACCAGGGTCCTTTCTGTGTGGAGTTTGCCTGTTCTCCCCGTGTCTGCATGGGTTTCCTCCGGGTACTCCGGTTTCCTCCCACAGTCCAAAAACATGCAGTCAGGTCAATTGGACACACTAAATTGCCCCTAGGTGTGAGTGTGTGTGAATGTGTATGTCTGTCTGTCTGCCCTGCGATGGACTGGCGACCTGTCCAGGGTGTATCCTGCCTTCCGCCCAATGACAGCTGGGATAGGCTCCAGCACCCCACCGCGACCCAGAAGGATAAGCGGTTTAGATGATGGATGGATGGGTTACTGTTTGGTCTCAGTTGGTCACAAATGCCACACAAGTCATCTCTGCCCATAAACAAAACCATAAAAAAGCAAGATGAGACATTTCCAGGGAGCAATAAGATTTATTGTCTAGCCACTCAGACATCACAAACAGAGGCTGAGTGCTAAAGCTCAGGTTCAGTCACACATTTACATGCTGAAATTCTTGGGCCACTACATGACTGAAGGCTTCATCCTGGAACACATGGCCAGCAGAATTCACTGCCCTGAAACCCTCACGCTCCACTTCTGATTTAAGCGACCACAAATGCTCTAGGGGAAAAAGAATCAAACTAATTGGCAAATGCATGCCAGTCATAGGTGAATTGGAATGTGTAGCTCATCTTGCACCAGAATGAAGGATAGATTTCAGGGGCTCCATCTCAAACAGCAATGCATATGGCTGCTGTCAGAACAAAACCTTGTACCTCCAAAACAGTTACTTTACATGAGGGAGGAAGGGTGGGGGGGGGGAGAGATCTGAACTTTGGAAGTTAGTGGAACTAGATCTCCCAATAATATTATATTTAACATGCATACATTTATATAAATAAATAAATAAAAAAACCACGACAAAAAGAGAGATAAGGTTTGTTTTGACAGTAGCAATATGCAAGTATACTTTGACTAACATGACTAAACGACAGATCCTTGTGCAATGTTAAGTAACTGGGCAATAAAGAAGGACTAACATTGCCTTCTGACATTCATTTTGTGAATTCCACTTTCACACTGAACAATTAAACACAGCTTTATTTTCAGAGGCTTGGCTATACCTAAGTAGTTCTTACCTTTTGCCAAGGCAGATTGTGTAGATCCAGAAGGCTTTTTTCCTTTAAACATCTCATCAGAAGCCAAACGTGGATGTACCAGAGACTGTACCTCACCAAAGGAATCTGAGGCAGGCATCACAGAGGGCCAAGTTTTGGCAGCACCATTCAGGTTTACAGGAGGGTTTACATTTTCTAAGGAATCAGGATTGCAGCTAGTCATACCAGAGGAGCTGGACTCCTTTAGGATAGCAGGAGAATCTAAATCTAGATGTGAAAATCTAGATGCAGTGGCTTTACTTGCAGGAGGCTTCATTTTGCCAGAAATCTCTTTGCCAGAACTGGGCATAGATACTACAGCTCCAGTGTTAGCTAGAGGGTTCAACTTCCCAGAAGGCTTTTTCTCAGATTTAATCTCTGATGCAGCAGCAGCAGCTTCACTTGCCTTTGCTGAAGGGCTCACCTCTCCAGAAGAACCTGCCCCATGTCCAGGCTTTGACAGTGTAGCTTCACTTGCTTTTGCAGCTTCACTTGCTTTTGCAGGAGGGCTCACCTTTCCAGAAGAACCTTCCTCATGTCCAGGCTGTGATGGTGCAGCTTCACCTCCTTTTGCAGGAGGGCTCACCTTTCCAGAAGAACCTTCCTCATGTCCAGGCTGTGATGTTGCAGCTTCACTTGCTTTTGCAGGAGGGCTCACCTTTCCAGAAGAACCATTCCCCATGTCCAGGCTGCGATGGTGCAGCTTCACTTGCTTTTGCAGGAGGGCTCACCTTTCCAGAAGAACCTTCCCCATGTCCAGGCTGTGATGGTGCAGCTTCACCTGCTTTTGCAGGAGGGCTCACCTTTCCAGAAGACCCTTTCCCATGTCCAGGCTGTGATGTTGCAGCTTCACTTGCTTTTGCAGGAGGGCTCAGCTTTCCAGAAAAACCTTCCCCATATCCAGGCTGTGATGCTGCAGCTTCACCTGCTTTTGCAGGAGGGCTCACCTTTCCAGAAGAACCTTCCCCATGTCCAGGCTGTGATGGTGCAGCTTCACTTGCTTTTGCAGGAGGGCTCACCTTTCCAGAAGAACCCTTCCCATGCCAGGCTGTGAGGTGCAGCTTCACTTGCTTTTGCAGGAGGGCTCAGCTTTCCAGAAAAACCTTCCCCATATCCAGGCTGTGATGCTGCAGCTTCACCTGCTTTTGCAGGAGGGCTCACCTTTCCAGAAGAAACCTTTCCCCAGTCCAGGCTGTGATGTGCAGCTTCACCTGCTTTTGCAGGAGGGCTCACCTTTCCAGAAGAACCTTCCCCATATCCAGCTGTGATGGTGCAGCTTCACTCTTTTGCAGGAGGGCTCCTTTCAGAAAATCAGTGGAGGGCTCACTCCTTTGCAGGGGGCCTTCAAAGAACCTTCCCATATCCAGGCTGTGATGGTGCAGCTTCACTTGCTTTTGCAGGAGGGCTCACCTTTCCAGAAGAACCTTCCCCATATCCAGGCTGTGATGGTGCAGCTTCACTTGCTTTTGCAGGAGGGCCACCCTTTTCTAAAGAACCCTTCCCATATCCAGGCTGTGATGGTGCAGCTTCACTTGCTTTTGCAGGAGGGCTAACCTTTCCCAAAGAACCTTTCCCATATCCAGGCTGTGATGGTGCAGCTTCACCTCCTTTGGCAGGAGGGCTCACCTTTCCAGAAGGTCCTTTCCCAGATTTGGACCATGATGCTCCTGCTTCACCTCCTTTTGCAGGAGGGCTCACCTTTCCAGAAGGATCCTTTCCCAGATTTGGACCATGATGCTCCTGCTTCACCTCCTGTTGCAGGAGGGCTCACCTTTCGAAAAGAACCTTCCTCATATCCAGGCTGTGATGGTGCAGCTTCACCTCCTTTGCAGGAGGGCTCACCTTTCGAAAAGAACCTTCCTCATATCCAGGCTGTGATGGTGCAGCTTCACCTCCTTTGGCAGGAGGGCTCACCTTTCCAAACGCATCCTCCCCATATCCAGGCTGTGATGGTGCAGCTTCACCTCTTTTGGCAGGAGGGCTCACCTTTCCAGAAGGACCTTTCCCAGATTTGGACCATGATGCTCCTGCTTCACCTCCTCTTGCAGAAGGGCTCAGCTTCCCAGAAGGACCTTTCCCAGATTTGGACCATGATGCTCCTGCTTCACCTCCTTTTGCAGGAGGGCTCACCGTTTCAGAAGAACCTTCCCCATATCCAGGCTGTAATGGTGCAGCTTCACCTCCTTTTGCAGGAGGGCTCACCTTTCCAGAAGAACCTTCCCCGTGTCCAGGCTGTGATGGTCCAGCTTCACCTCCTTTGGCAGGAGGGCTCACCTTTCCAGAAGAACCTTCCCCATATCCAGGCTGTGGCACAGCAGCTTCACCTGTATTTCCCGGAGGGCTCACCCTTCCAGAATAATATTTTTCAGAACTGGACCCAGACCCAGCAGCTCCCTCACAGCTTTCATGAGGGTTCACTTTCCCAGAAGCACCTTTTCCAGAACTGGACTTCACTGAAGAACTCAATCCAGGCCCACTAGTCCCTGCTGAGTTTACAGCCTGTAAATTAGGCTCTACCTTCACTTGACTGGACAGATAATGCCCTTTTTGTTCCTCATCCACCATTAAGCCCTGAATTTCCAAGTACACTGTACGAAAAAGAAATCAGATTGGTTCAGTACTGCAAAGCAGCAGTACAGTTTGTTCCCACTACAGAAAGAACATTAAAGACATGATTATTCAAGCTTGGACCCCATAATTTTACCCAGCCTACTGAAGTTGAATGGGGTATCCCATATCCCATAGCCCAACTATTTAGTACCTGGTATTTGCCAAAGAGAAAGGGAATAAAAGGATGAATGATACTGGTGTAAAGTGATAAAAGGGCACATTTCCACCTCTTTGTGCCTCCATAGGGTCAGATATGCTTCCCAGAGAGAGTAGCGCAGCCAAGACATCCTCTATTGTCACTGAAGCCTTATGGTAGTCATGCACTTGCTGGACAAAGGGTGAGTGTGTATCTGGAGAAAACATATAGGCATTAACTTCATTCACTGGGCAATCCTCCTCACTCATTCAACCAGCATTAAGTGACTAATGAAGCTGTATGCTTGACCTAGGGTATGTTCACATTAATCTACAACCAGAAAGAGACTGCAGCAAATTTCATTTAGTAGCAAACCATGATATTTATACCTACTAAACTTACTGGTTTATTCAAATGTATAAATTAAGCAGTGGTAGGAGGTAAATGAGAAATATGGTGTTCCATTTGTGGCCCATTTTCACTATGTTATCTCTCCAGAATTGGGTAAAGAGTAGAATAGGGTTGGTTGGCACAGTTAACATCTGTGTCAGTAGAGGGCCTCTCAAACATATCTGCCCTCTTGACCAACATTCATCCATTTTGACAAGCGCCCCAGGGCCAGATTCTCAAAGCTTCATGGAGGTTACAACAGCCATCCTAATGACCCTCTTAACCTAGGACCATCTTAGTGCAACATTCAAAAGAAGGGTATGGCATCCTATGGTAGTCACAGCATAACACTACACATTACCCAGTATAATCAATAAGTGTTATTACACTCAGATATGACCAATGACAATAAGATACCCAAAACTTCGAGAACTGCTAGAGCTGCCAAATTTGATTCGAGGGTTAGAAGACACCATGGTCCTGGTTTGTTAAGACTGTCCAAACTGTTTCCCCAAGTATCCACCCCAGAACTTTAACAGATTGTAAGGGGCGGGGGGGGGGTTGGGGTGGCACTTTTCCTGTGCTCTGCACTTTATCTGTGCTCATTTATAAAAAAAAAATATAAAAAAGCATCCCTAAGTAAATAAGTTTCAGAATGTGTTTAAAGATCAAAGATCAACACAGCGATATTTTGATATCGTGAAAGCCAATGATGAGTAATGCTAACTAGCTAAGAGAGTTGGGTCCTGACGTGAGTGGACTTGGTTGGCCATATGTAGGACTATTATCAAACATTTTATATTATACACTACATACATTAAACAACAATGATGCAGTGCTTACATTCAATTCACATCAAATTTGTATGAAGTTACTGCTACTGCTAAGCTTTAGACCATTTTATAAGGGTGTCTCAAAATGAAAACTTAATCTAAACTACATCACACTGTTGGGACAAAGTCTTGTATCTCCAAAAAGGTAAAGTCACAGAGGGGCCAAAAAAACCCACAAGACACCACATTAACTTTGAAGGGAAATTAATGGATCCTCCAAGTCTATTTGGATGAATTCTAGTGGTCCGTTCACTATGAAAATTCAACACGATGTAAGAGGCAAGTGGTCTTTTACAATCAAGAGGAAAGAACAAAAATTGAGATACAAAGTTCTGCTCCAACACAGACATTGTGTATTACCTATGCGAACATGAAACTACAAGTAATGTTTTTACAAAGGGTTTCTGCTTTCCACACAGGACCTGTGTACAACAGTTCCAACACAAATGAAACATTCCTCACCTTTAATTTTAGTATCTTTAAATCAACATTCAATTTCTGTTTGAGATACAGCCCTAATACATGACCTGCCTGCAGCCCTAAAGAGGAAAATAGCACAAAGAGAGAGTTCACCTCTGTGGCCAAATAAGAGTCCCACATCTTGGAGCGGTGACTGCTTTGCCTGGCGTCTAACAGGAGAGCTTAACACTACAAAAGGGTTAAAAGCAGTTAAAACCAATATGAAATTAGAGGAAGTTTGAAGTTTCACAAACTAACCAACCTTGGCAAACCCATGGATGACTTAAACATAACCAAAGGAGAATTTCCAGGGCATCCATGACGGTCCTTTTTTGAAAGCGCTTAGCAACTGCCAAGAGTTTTTAAAACAAAAGTGTGCCTGGAGGATGTACCATCCAAATGGAGCTCATTAACAACAATTAGTGCTGGGTGGAGCCACAGAGACTACACATTCTCACCTATTGGCTGGAGTTTATCCTCCTTATTAACCAAATATTCTTCTAAATTAAATTACAGGGCTTCTCGCTTCCTATTATTTGATTATTCTCATGAACAAGAGAAGCCAAGATAGAGTGTTGACTACGACCTGTGGTTCAATCCAGCACACTTGCTTCACATAAATATATAAATATTAGGCAGATTTGTTGCAAGAGGCAACAAATAATATATAATATATAATATATATATAATTAATATATAATTAACCCCACCAATGTGTTTTATTTTATTTTTTATATCATTCATTTTGTAGTCAGAGCTGGTTTGGCAATTGTGGTCGCAAGGCTTATTTCAGTTGTCTCCTTCTGGAAATCTAAATCTACTTCCATGCAGAGCAATGGTCACCAACCCTCCTCCTGAAGATCTGCATTCCTGCAACCTGCATCTAACAAGCTGCCCCACCCCTCAGGTAACACAAATGCATCTGATCCAGCCAATCAAGGACTTCTCAGGAAGCTAATTAACTGGTGTGGAAGATTGAAGTTGGAACTAGACCAGTGGTCACCAGCCTTCCTCCTGAAGATCTACTTTCTTGCAGAGTACAGTTCCAACCTGTATCCAGTAAGCTGCACCACCCCTTACTTAACTCTAATACATCTGATCCAGCCAATCAAGGATTTAGGAAGAGGCTGAATAGCTGGAGCACTGTGGCAGATTGTGGTTGGAACTAGGCTTTGCAGGAATGTACCTTTGCCTAGGACCAGGGTCAGAGAACACTGCTTTCCAGGAAAGCAGATTTTCAACACAGAGGCTGGTGACCACTGATGCAGAGATTACTTCCAACCTGTATCTAATAAGCTGCTCTGCCCCCTCCCACTCTAACCTTAGCTTAAACTTAAGGCAGCCAATCAAGGGCTGCGTCCAAAGCCACATATTGCCTTACTAAATAAATACCAACTCAGCCTTCCTCCTTGAGATCTACCTTCCTGCAAATTATAATTCCAACCGGTATCCAGTAAGGTGCCCTGCCCCTTTACTTAACTCTAATACAACTGATCCAGCCAATCAGGCATTTGGGAAGTGGCTGATTAGCTGGAGCAGTGTGGCAGATTGTGTTTAGAACTAGGCTTTGCAGGAAGGCAGCTCAGGGTTTGGGACCACATTGGGCACTGCAGCATTTACTGTTTTCCTGATTCAACTGATTAAATAACTTCCTGATGGCAGGGCCTGCATCCAAATGGGTGAATAAAACTTCTCATATTGTTTGTGATTTTGCCTGATCTGTAGCCCATGGCCTCACTAAATATATTGGCAGAGCTGACTGCTATGTGGATCCACATGGTTACCAGATTAGGCAAAATCTGGAGCAGCAGCCTGTAAATTTCATTTGATTATTTGGAATAGGCTGCAAAAGAGGAATAGTATGAGGTCTCTATCATGTTAAGGTGTGGTGGTAGAGCCACTACTTAAGCAGGGAACATTGAGCCCAGCAGCTGAGGTTTATATTTGAATCCCAGAAGCACCCAACAGCTCCTAATAGGACATCTCTGCACTTGTCATTTCTAAACTAGGGGAAAGTAAACATGCAATAAATACCATTGCTTTTTGCATTCCATTGCATTGCTTTTTGACACATAACCCCAAACTATCCTTGCAACTGGTTTGTGAAAGTGATGTATGTTAAGGTGTCTGTTCACTTTACTTACAGGGTCAGGCAGTAAGGAACAGACACACAAATAGATCTAGAGTCTTGAGATTGCCCAAGGACGAGATTCATATTACCAGCTTGTCATTCAGACATGCAGTGGGCAACACTGGAGGATACAACACCTCATAAAAGACTTTTAACCAGCTTGCAATGGCCTCATCTTGTTCAAAGATCAACGCAATGTCTGCTACGGTTTTGACTTGCCAATGACATCCAAATAAAGATGCCATTAATTCAGTTCCAGATGTGATATTGCCATTATTATTTCTGCACAAAATGACATACAGGGCTCCATGTCACCTGCAGTACATGTATGTTACAACTCGACAGACCATATATTAAATCTCTAATGACTTTGTTCTCAACACCAATGGCCATAGAGCACCTCTGTTCATTGTTAGTTCTACACAAAAGAACAGGTGCTCTTGGGTCTTTTCTAAAATTAAACAGCATGTTACTGTTTGGGGGTGGCGCAGTGGGTAGCGCTGTCGCCTCACAGCAAGAAGGGCCTGGGTTCGATTCCTGGCCAGGCGACCAGGGTCCTTTCTGTGTGGAGTTTGCCTGTTCTCCCCGTGTCTGCATGGGTTTCCTCCGGGTACTCCGGTTTCCTCCCACAGTCCAAAAACATGCAGTCAGGTCAATTGGACACACTAAATTGCCCCTAGGTGTGAGTGTGTGTGAATGTGTATGTCTGTCTGTCTGCCCTGCGATGGACTGGCGACCTGTCCAGGGTGTATCCTGCCTTCCGCCCAATGACAGCTGGGATAGGCTCCAGCACCCCACCGTGACCCAGAAGGATAAGCGGTTTAGATGATGGATGGATGGGTTACTGTTTGGTCTCAGTTGGTCACAAATGCCACACAAGTCATCTCTGCCCATAAACAAAACCATAAAAAAAAGCAAGAGGAGACATTTCCAGGGAGCAATAAGATTTATTGTCTAGCCACTCAGACATCACAAACAGAGGCTGAGTGCTAAAGCTCAGGTTCAGTCACACATTTACATGCTGAAATTCTTGGGCCACTACATGACTGAAGGCTTCATCCTGGAACACATGGCCAGCAGAATTCACTGCCCTGAAACCCTCACGCTCCACTTCTGATTTAAGCGACCACAAATGCTCTAGGGGAAAAAGAATCAAACTAATTGGCAAATGCATGCCAGTCATAGGTGAATTGGAATGTGTAGCTCATCTTGCACCAGAATGAAGGATAGATTTCAGGGGCTCCATCTCAAACAGCAATGCATATGGCTGCTGTCAGAACAAAACCTTGTACCTCCAAAACAGTTACTTTACATGAGGGAGGAAGGGTGGGGGGGGGGAGAGATCTGAACTTTGGAAGTTAGTGGAACTAGATCTCCCAATAATATTATATTTAACATACATACATAAATAAGTATATAAATAAATAAATAAAAAAACCATGACAAAAAGAGAGATAAGGTTTGTTTTGACAGCAGCAATATGCAAGTATACTTTGACTAACATGACTAAACGACAGATCCTTGTGCAATGTTAAGTAACTGGGCAATAAAGAAGGACTAACATTGCCTTCTGACATTCATTTTGTGAATTCCACTTTCACACTGAACAAGTAACACAGCTTTATTTTCAGAGGCTTGGCTATACCTAAGTAGTTCTTACCTTTTGCCAAGGCAGATTGTGTAGATCCAGAAGGCTTTTTTCCTTTAAACATCTCATCAGAAGCCAAACGTGGATGTACCAGAGACTGTACCTCACCAAAGGAATCTGAGGCAGGCATCACAGAGGGCCAAGTATTGGCAGCACCATTCAGGTTTACAGGAGAGTTTACCTTTTCTAAAGAATCAGGATTGCAGCTAGTCATACCAGATGAACTGGACTCCATTAGGATAGCAGGAAAATTTAAATCTAGATGCGAAAATCTAGATGCAGTGGCTTTACTTGCAGGAGGCTTCATTTTGCCAGAAATCTCTTTGCCAGAACTGGGCATAGATACCACAGCTCCAGTGTTAGCTAGAGGGTTCAACTTCCCAGAAGGCTCTTTCTCGGATTTAACCTCTGATGCAGCAGCAAAACCACCAGCAGTAGCAGCAGCAGCTTCACTTGCTTTTGCAGGAGGGCTCACCTTTCCAGAAGAACCTTCCCCATATTCAGGCTGTGAGGGTGCAGCTTCACTTGCTTTTGCAGGAGGACTAACCTTTTCAGAAGAACCTTCCCCATGTCCAGGCTGTGATGGTGCAGCTTCATCTGCTTTTGCAGGAGGGCTCACCTTTCCAGAAGAACCTTCCCCATATTCAGGCTGTGATGGTGCAGCTTCACTTGCTTTTGCAGGAGGGCTCACCGTTTCAGAAGAACCTTCCCCACGTCCAGGCTGCGATGGTGCAGCTTCACTTGCTTTTGCAGGAGGGCTCACCTTTTCAGAAGAACCTTCCCCATATCCAGGCTGTGATGGTGCAGCTTCACTTGCTTTTGCAGGAGGGCTCACCTTTTCAGAAGAACCTTCCCCATGTCCAGGCTGTGATGGTGCAGCTTCATCTGTTTTTGCAGGAGGGCTCACCTTTCCAGAAGAACCTTCCCCATATTCAGGCTGCGATGGTGCAGCTTCACTTGCTTTTGCAGGAGGGCTCACCTTTTCAGAAGAACCTTCCCCATATCCAGGCTGTGATGGTGCAGCGTCACCTCCTTTTGCAGGAGGGCTCACCTTTCCCAAAGAAACTTCCCCATATCCAGGCTGTGATGGTGCAGCTTCACCTCCTTTTGCAGGAGGGCTCACCTTTCCAGAAGAACCTTCCCCATAACCAGGCTGTGATGGTGCAGCTTCACTTGCTTTTGCAGGAGGGCTCACCTTTTCAGAAGAACCTTTCCCATATTCAGGCTGTGACGGTGTAGCTTCACTTGCTTTTGCAGGAGGGCTCACCTTTTCAGAACAACCTTGCCCATATCCAGGCTGTGACTGTGTAGCTTCACTTGCTTTTGCAGCTTCACTTGCTTTTGCAGGAGGGCTCACCTTTTCAGAAGAACCTTCCCCATATCCAGGCTGTGATGGTGCAGCTTCACTTGCTTTTGCTGAAGGGCTCACCTTTTCAGAACAACCCTTCCCATTTTCTGGCTGTGACGGTGCAGCTTCGCTTGCTTTTGCAGGAGGGCTAATCTTTTCAGAAGAACCTTCCCCATATCCAAGCTGTGATGGTGCAGCTTCACTTGCTTTTGCAGGAAGGCTCACCTTTCCAGAAGATCCTTCCCCATATCCAGGCTGTGATGGTGGAGCCTCACCTACTTTTGCAGGAGGGCTCACCTTTTCAGAAGAACCATCCCCATGTCCAGGCTGTGATGGTGCAGCTTCACTTGCTTTTGTAGCAGGGCTCATCTTTCCAGAAGAACCATCCCCATATCCAGGCTGTGATGGTGCAGGTTCACTTGCTTTTGCAGGAGGGCTCACCTTTTCAGAAGAACCTTTCCCACATTCAGGCTGTGACAGTGTAGCTTCACTTGCTTTTGCAGCTTCACTTGCTTTTGCAGGAGGGCTCACCTTTCCAGAAGAATCTTCCCCATATCCAGGCTGTGATGGTGGAGCCTCACCTACTGTTGCAGGAGGGCTCACCTTTTCAGAAGAACCTTGCCCATATCCAGGCTGTGATGGTGCAGCTTCACCACCTTTTGCAGCAGGGCTCATCTTTCCAGAAGAACCTTCCCCATATCCAGGCTGTGATGGTGCAGCTTCACTTGCTTTTGCTGAAGGGCTCACCTTTCCAGAACAACCCTTCCCATTTTCTGGCTGTGACGGTGCAGCTTCACTTGCTTTTGCAGGAGGGCTAACCTTTTCAGAAGAACCTTCCCCACATCCAGGCTCCGATGGTGCAGCTTCACTTGCTTTTACAGGAGGGCTCACCTTTTCAGAAGAACCTTCCCCATATCCAGGCTGCGATGGTGCAGCTTCACTTGCTTTTGCAGGAGGGCTCACCGTTTCAGAAGAACCTTCCCCATATCCAGGCTGTAATGGTGCAGCTTCACCTCCTTTTGCAGGAGGGCTCACCTTTCCAGAAGAACCTTCCCCGTGTCCAGGCTGTGATGGTCCAGCTTCACCTCCTTTGGCAGGAGGGCTCACCTTTCCAGAAGAACCTTCCCCATATCCAGGCTGTGGCACAGCAGCTTCACCTGTATTTCCCGGAGGGCTCACCCTTCCAGAATAATATTTTTCAGAACTGGACCCAGACCCAGCAGCTCCCTCACAGCTTTCATGAGGGTTCACTTTCCCAGAAGCACCTTTTCCAGAACTGGACTTCACTGAAGAACTCAATCCAGGCCCACTAGTCCCTGCTGAGTTTACAGCCTGTAAATTAGGCTCTACCTTCACTTGACTGGACAGATAATGCCCTTTTTGTTCCTCATCCACCATTAAGCCCTGAATTTCCAAGTACACTGTACGAAAAAGAAATCAGATTGGTTCAGTACTGCAAAGCAGCAGTACAGTTTGTTCCCACTACAGAAAGAACATTAAAGACATGATTATTCAAGCTTGGACCCCATAATTTTACCCAGCCTACTGAAGTTGAATGGGGTATCCCATATCCCATAGCCCAACTATTTAATACCTGGTATTTGCCAAAGAGAAAGGGAATAAAAGGATGAATGATACTGGTGTAAAGTGATAAAAGGGCACATTTCCACCTCTTTGTGCCTCCATAGGGTCAGATATGCTTCCCAGAGAGAGTAGCGCAGCCAAGACATCCTCTATTGTCACTGAAGCCTTATGGTAGTCATGCACTTGCTGGACAAAGGGTGAGTGTGTATCTGGAGAAAACATATAGGCATTAACTTCATTCACTGGGCAATCCTCCTCACTCATTCAACCAGCATTAAGTGACTAATGAAGCTGTATGCTTGACCTAGGGTATGTTCACATTAATCTACAACCAGAAAGAGACTGCAGCAAATTTCATTTAGTAGCAAACCATGATATTTATACCTACTAAACTTACTGGTTTATTCAAATGTATAAATTAAGCAGTGGTAGGAGGTAAATGAGAAATATGGTGTTCCATTTGTGGCCCATTTTCACTATGTTATCTCTCCAGAATTGGGTAAAGAGTAGAATAGGGTTGGTTGGCACAGTTAACATCTGTGTCAGTAGAGGGCCTCTCAAACATATCTGCCCTCTTGACCAACATTCATCCATTTTGACAAGCGCCCCAGGGCCAGATTCTCAAAGCTTCATGGAGGTTACAACAGCCATCCTAATGACCCTCTTAACCTAGGACCATCTTAGTGCAACATTCAAAAGAAGGGTATGGCATCCTATGGTAGTCACAGCATAACACTACACATTACCCAGTATAATCAATAAGTGTTATTACACTCAGATATGACCAATGACAATAAGATACCCAAAACTTCGAGAACTGCTAGAGCTGCCAAATTTGATTCGAGGGTTAGAAGACACCATGGTCCTGGTTTGTTAAGACTGTCCAAACTGTTTCCCCAAGTATCCACCCCAGAACTTTAACAGATTGTAAGGGGCGGGGGGGGGGTTGGGGTGGCACTTTTCCTGTGCTCTGCACTTTATCTGTGCTCATTTATAAAAAAAAAATATAAAAAAGCATCCCTAAGTAAATAAGTTTCAGAATGTGTTTAAAGATCAAAGATCAACACAGCGATATTTTGATATCGTGAAAGCCAATGATGAGTAATGCTAACTAGCTAAGAGAGTTGGGTCCTGACGTGAGTGGACTTGGTTGGCCATATGTAGGACTATTATCAAACATTTTATATTATACACTACATACATTAAACAACAATGATGCAGTGCTTACATTCAATTCACATCAAATTTGTATGAAGTTACTGCTACTGCTAAGCTTTAGACCATTTTATAAGGGTGTCTCAAAATGAAAACTTAATCTAAACTACATCACACTGTTGGGACAAAGTCTTGTATCTCCAAAAAGGTAAAGTCACAGAGGGGCCAAAAAAACCCACAGGACACCACATTAACTTAATGGATCCTCCAAGTCTATTTGGATCAATTCTAGTGGTCCGTTCACTATGAAAATTCAACACGATGTAAGAGGCAAGTGGTCTTTTACAATCAAGAGGAAAGAACAAAAATTGAGATACAAAGTTCTGCTCCAACACAGACATTGTGTATTACCTATGCAAACATGAAACTACAAGTAATGTTTTTACAAAAGGTTTCTGCTTTCCACACAGGACCTGTGTACAACAGTTCCAACACAAATGAAACATTCCTCACCTTTAATTTAAGGACATGTGGTTGCTGTTTTAACCTTATTATAGTGCCAACCACCCTCATAAAACAAGGGCGCTCAATCTTATCCACAAAGGGCCAGTGTGGGTACACTCATTTAAACAGTCAGTCTCAGTCTTTAAACAACTGATCGGGTGCTCCTGATTTGTTGTAATGAAAACCTGTAGCCACACCCTTTGTGGCTAAGATTGGACACCCCTGCCATAACATAATGGGACTTGTTGGCACAAATGCATCACATTAGTCTAGCCAAGACTGCACTAATTTCAGAAAATAATCTTCCATCATTTAAAGTGTCTTTATTTTAGCAAATAAAGTTCAGCTAGTTGAGTCACCCTAACACATGGCAGAGAGTGAAAGCTGCACAAGTCAACCCCAACCTCCTGATCACAAACTGAACTTGCATTATCATCATTAATAAGTGACTTAGTAGCAAATGTGTGCAGTATTGTGTGAAAGTGCTACACTCGCAGCTTTAGTATCTTTAAATCAACATTCAATTTCTGTTTGAGATACAGGCCTAATACATGACCTGCCTTCAGCCCTAAAGAGGAAAATAGCACAAAGAGAGAGTTCACCTCTGTGGCCAGATAAGAGTCCCACATCTTGGAGTGGTGACTGGTTTGACTGGCGTCTAACAGGAGAGCTTAACACTACAAAAAAAAAAAGGGTTAAAAGCAGTTAAAACCAATACGAAACTAGAAGACGCTTGAAGTTTCACAAACTAACCAACCTTGGCAAACCCATGGATGACTTAAACATAACCAAAGGAAAATGTCCAGGGCATCCATGATGGTCCTTTTTTGAAAGCTCTTAGCAACTGCCAAGAGTTTTTAAAACAAAAGTGTGCCTGGAGGATGTATCATCCGAATGGAGCTCATTAGCAACAATTAGTGCTGGGTGGAGCCACAGAGACTACACATTCTCACCTATTGGCTGGAGTTTATCCTCCTTATTAACCAAATATTCTTCTAAATTAAATTACAGGGCTTCTCGCTTCCTATTATTTGATTATTCTCATGAACAAGAGAAGCCAAGAGAGAGTGTTGACTACGACCTGTGGTTCAATCCAGCACACTTGCTTCACATAAATATTAGGCAGATTTGTTGCAAGAGGCCAAAACCTTAATATATAATTAACCCCACCAACGTGTTTTATTTTTTATATCATTCATTTTGAAGTCAGAGCTGGTTTGGCAATTGTGGTGGTAAGGCTTATTTCAGTTGTCTCCTTCTGGAAATCTAAATCTACTTCCATGCAGAGCAATGGTCACCAACCCTCCTCCTGAAGATCTGCATTCCTGCAACCTGCATCTAACAAGCTGTCCCACCCCTCAGGTAACATGAATGCATCTGATCCAGCCAATCAAGGACTTCTCAGGAAGTTAATTAACTGGTGCAGGTGTGGAAGATTGAAGTTGGAACTGGACCAGTGGTCACCAGCCTTCCTCCTAAAGATCTACGTTCTTGCAGAGTACAGTTCCATTCATTAGTGTAGCATGTGTAGTGTAGTAGTATGTGGCTTTGGTCGCAGCTAAGGACTTGTGAAGAAGTTAATGAGCTGGAGCAGGTGTGGCAGATTGTGGTTGAAACTAGGCTCTGCACGAATCTAGTGCTGCATCCAAAACCTCATACTAGAATACTAAATAGTATGTTGAAATTAGTATGCCACCACTGTAAGTCCATTCATTAGTTTAGTATGTACAGAAGTATGGGGTTTTGGACACAGCTCTCCAGGACCAGAGTTGGTGGCAGCTAAAAGGTTTGTTGTTTAACTTAAAGTATAACCTGGCTTTTTAAAAATTTTTAATTTAATACTCTAAGTGACGTTGAAAAAAATCTACATTTTAAGGCAGCAAGATTATTTTACATTAAAGGGCCTGTATCATAGGAAAAACAAATCTCTCCTCACTTTTTGGGAATAAAAGAGTTTGACACAGTATGTAAACATTGTTAAAGTTTCCAAATGTATCATTCTCTCTCCAGTCTATACACTCCGTATATGGAAACTAAGCTGAAAAAAGCGAGTTTTGAGTTCATTGTTCCTGTGATGTCATTAGAAAATTACCACATGTACATATATGCTCCTATTTATCCTACAGTTTAGCCCTGCCTATTCACACGTTAAATGCTTCAGCTTGGTCTGTTTTTTTGAATGAGGCAGCCAATCACAAAAATCTCATTACACATACCTGTATTATAGGTACAGTTACAAAAACAGCCTCTTTAATTCTAAGGAATAAAAAAGAGAGGCTAGAAAATGTTTATGTAAAAATGAATTATGAATTGGTGCACAAAACTACATAAATTATGTGAGTGGATCTCATGGAAAAAACAAAATGCAAGAAAAGTTTAGGAAATGGGTCCTTTAATTTATATAATATACATTTTTTTTACACATGGACATTTTTCTATACCACCTTTGTGTTATCAGCACCACCTATACCTATGACAACTGTACCAGTGCATGCATGAGTACTGCAGCAGAACACATTGATTGTGAGATTTCATCTCAGCTCTCATTGTCTCAACCATATTCACAGCTCTGATGTTCATTTTCAGGGATAAGGAATGCGAGGTGTCTGCAAAAGTCCACCTTAATTTCAGCTGTTTTAAGGTGGCAGTTGTTGCATATACACTTTGTCACATAACAGGCCATATTCATCATTACAGGAGATGCAGCCCACCTAATCATATCTAAACATCCGCAACTAGATGGGATGCGGAAGCCTGTGTACACAAAGCTGTAGAGCGGGGGTTTCATCGAGTGACAAATTGGAGGGTTAGAAGCGGTTTGGACAAGTAAAAGTGGAGCCTCCTTGCTGAACTGTGGCTTTCGTTATTATACCTCACTAGGAACAACTTTTGATAGACAGACCTCTTCATTGTAGATGTAGAAGGTTAGTTTTCCACTGGCACCATGGTCAGTGGAGTGTTAGAAGATCCTGTAGCTCATCCTTCACTGCTTTAGAAGTCTAGTCAGTAGTTGCAGCCAGCTTCAGTTTTTGTCAGTATGCATCCAAACTTGATTATAGCATGGTTGGAATTGCCAAGAGGTGTAGAGATACATAGTAATAATCCTTCAGTTGTGTTGTAGAGATGGTCCATGTTTTTCTCCTCATGTGATTTGGCAGATTACCCTTGGTGTTGCATGGTTAAAGTCTCATAAAGTTTCCTATATGAAAATGTTTAAGTTTTTAAACAGCATCAGTTTCTGGTTAGACTGTAAATTAGCCTGGCTTTAAGCGCACACCAGCAAAAACCAAGTAGTAAACCAAGTAAAATTATCTGGGCAAATGGCTTACAGTGTCTGAAAGAAATTGTACTAAGCAGCTACATACTTGGTCCTTAAGGTCAAACTGTGTTACCTTAAATGAGTTTTAAAGGTGCACTATATTCACCAAGAGATACATTTGTTTCTTTTCATTCATTTCAACTTTTTCATTTCCTTTTAAAACTAAAAAATAAAATAAAAATCCTGGAGTCAGGACAAAATTTACAGGTGAGCAGAGTCATTTTAACACAATAAATATCATTGTATGGAAATCATATGAATCTTTGTCTGTTGATATTTCTACAAATATTATTTGTGTTGGAAGTCTTAATACATATCTACATAATCTACATTATCTACAAAAACATGCTTACATTTGCATATTTTTTTTTAAATCTAGCCTTGACATGATGTTAGAATTAAATTGTTCGAAGTCTAGTATAAATCCAGCAATTACCTATATACTAAAAGATCTTTCTGTAGTGTTCTCAGGATAGAGTTAGGAATGAACATGTAAAGTTGAATGAACACACATATTCTAGAAGTTGAGGTTTTTGGTTCTGAATGTAGAGAAAAGCTGATGTTGAGAAAAAAGTTTTAAGGTGTCAGAACTGCACTAGACAATGAGATCTCAGAAAACGTGCCGCATTTGTGGGAATGCTATTAATCCTAATATGTCTATGTCCTTTCTGATATCACACATACGCTATCTAAGCCACTTATCCTTCTGGGTCATGGGGGTTGTACTGGAGCCTATACCAGCAACTGTTGGGCAGAAGGCAGAAAACACCCTGGACAGGTCACCAGTCCTATACAGGGCAGACACACAGGCATATACAATCACACACACACATTTACACCAAGTGTATCCAATTCGCCTGACTGCATGTCTTTGAGAGGAAACCAATGCAGACACAGGGAGAACAGAGAGGACCCTGGTCGCCCAGCTGGGGAACCAAACCCAGGCCTTTCTTGCTGTGAGGCAACAGTGCTACTCACTGCAACACCAGGCTGCCCTATTAGGATTGTCTTTCGATTGAATTATCTTTAGTTTCTAAACTACAGGAAATAAGCTTGTCAGTGATATATGACATTATGTGGTTGTGCCAAGTGTGGCAGAGCCAAGCCTTCATTAAAGTTGCTACCTTTTAGAAAATACAGTTAGACAAGTGGACACTAATTGACTTAACACACTGAAATAAACACAGGTCTGTCGGCTTTTGACTTTTTTAATGAATACACTTTAAGATAAAACATGTTATTCATGCAGTCTATCCAAAAGTCAAGAAGGACTGACGTGACAAAAATCATTTATAACAAACACTGCAATGCAATGTGGTACCATTGTTTCTTGACACACCAGTTATTGACATTGTTTGTACCCAAAATGACAGTATGGTACCTTAGTTTTAAATTATGATAGTGTCAGTATAGCACCTGTTGTTAAGAAGCATACAAGAATCTCTACAACAAGAAGATCGGATTTGCAGCCCATTTTGAACAGCAATAAAAGACCTCTTGCATGTAAATCATAATTCAGAGTGCAGGAGTACTTGTCATCTTTATTTTTGTTGACCAATTTTGAGGTGCAGGAAAAGCTCCCTTCTCTTCCACTGCCTGTGATTATCAGTTCTCCTGCTCCTGTGCTTCTGACAGGGGTGTCAACCTTCGCCTTTTGTCCTTCAAGTTCTGACAAGCCGAGAAAACAAGTCTAATTAAGTTTAGCTAGACCTCAGATGCTTCCTATCCGAAACAGTTACATCACCAAAAACATCTCACAGTATTAGCCAGCCAGCTGTAAAGTGTCCCTAAACAAAGCTAGCTAGCTAACATTAGAGAAAAACACATCTGGATGAGCTCAGGGTGGGTAATTACCTAGCTATGATGAGTGATTAAGGTCATGGGTTGAAATATTAGACCACTTTGTCCTTTGCTAAGAAAAAAAATCCACACTGCAACCACTATGGCAAATACAGCTGCTGGATAGTAGAGCTAAATTTCTACTCACATTACACAATTAGTTTAACATGCAGTTCCCAAGGACGAAGCATTTATTAAGAGAATGAGAACAGATTTGCAAAATAATAGCCCAGTAGTCAAACAAAAATGAATGACAGGCCTTTGATGACAGGCCTTGGGAATATCATGACTGTTGTTGGCAGAAGGAGGTGCTTCATGTGTGTACACAGGATCTAGTCTAATATACATGCATGCGCTGTACAGCTGCAGGTGCCTGCCAGTCTGAGAACAATTAAAAGGAGTATATGCCTGAGCAAACTATTCTACATCTAATAGAGGCCTCAGATAACTGCAGTAATTAAATGCTGTACATGTGGCAGTGTACATGTTTAATTGCTCATAAGCATGGCTATAAAACACTGTGAAATGGCTTAGTAATCAATAGATGCTTTTGTATAGGTTATAGTGCCTTCAACATTTTTGGTGTTGACTCACCTAAAGGTTTCTACTGCTGTTATGAATAAAGATGAGTGATCTTCTGGCAGCCTTATT